AAGAGGACAACAAACGAGGGGCTGTGACAAACTGTTTCGTCGGAGTTTCACCGACTCATATATATTATATATATATATCGTCACAAATAGAACTGCCCGGTAAACCGTAGGCAGAGAGAGAGAAGAGGACAACAAACGAGGGGCTGTGTATATATATATATATCGTCACAAACAGAACTGCCCGGTAAACCGTAGGCAGAGAGAGAGAAGAGGACAACAAACGAGGGGCTGTGACAAACTGTTTCGTCGGAGTTTCACGGACTCATCATATATATATATATTGTCACAAAGTTATCAGAGCACAAAACCGAAAAGAAACAGAAAGAAAACAAGAAAATAAATTCATTTTTTATCTTCTTCCTTACAACTCTCCCTGTTCAGAACCTCTTGCATACATATCTATTTTCTCTCTCCTCCTCCCCCCCATTATGTACTCCCTCTCCTTGTATACTTCCAGTAAATGCATATGAATGAGCGTCATTAAGAGAACAGCATTAAGAGAACAGCATTAAGAGAACAGACAGAACATAAGTTCCCTTTTACTCTGCCTCCTTCTATAGCGTGCAAGTGGCCCGTCAAGGCACACGGGGATGTGGGCAGCTGACGCTCAACCATCATCAACGTGGCCAGCCTTGTACATGATCGGCACAGTAAGAGCGGAGCTGCAAAAACAAAGAAAATGGGAGGCCTCCCAATGTTAGTTGACGAAAGCATAATCAAGAAAACGATACAACGGATTTATTGCGTCTCGTATTGGCTTTACTTTTGGGTTGACCCGTGTCAAGTGTGTTGCATGGCTTGTATAAAGGTGAGATTCCTTGCTTGTATAGAGCTAAGATTCCGGTGGTTTTGGATAGATATTGACTTTACAAGCAAAACTGTTTCATTGGTGGATGGGATCATCTTAAGCATGCTTCATTGTCTGCAATAGAGGTAAAATTGCTATGACTTCGGATCAACTCATCTGGGTGGAATAGGGGAAGTTGTGATGATAATTCATAACACACATACACATCTGCTGACACAGCTGATGCAGCACCTACAGCAACCGCTGCAGTAGCAACTGATGCATCGGATGTAGCTGCTGTATTTGCTGCGCGCACACACACACACACACACACACACACACACCTACCTGTGGCCGCCCACTATGCCCGCCCCCCGGGGACCGGAATGGCCGAAATGGCCCCGGTACCGGCCACATGTGGATGCGTTCGGCAGCCCCCTTTTTTTTAAAGCTCAGCCGAACACGTTTGGTTCCCGCTCGGCCGAGCGTCCGAACATTTTCGGATGCTTGGTGGGGCGCCAAACGTGTTCGGCGTGCTACACAGGCAGCACTTTAGGTAATGGCCCCGTAGAAGCTAAAGGGGGGGGGGGGG